GTGTCCCCTGGTGTGCTTGTGAAATCAGACCTGGCACTACTTCCACCAGAGCTGATGTCTTACAGAACTCTCTGGTTGGGAGACATGGTGTGGTCAGGGGTCTGTGCTGGTCTTCTGCGGGAGGGACCTGCTGTACTAGGACTGAGGCAGACATGACTGAGAAGGGCAATCTCTCCCGAGCACAGGGGGTAGGACTTGGTGTTTTCAAGTTAGGCAGCCAGTAGTAGAGCTGTGGTGCTTCCCACGGTTGGCTCTGTGTTTATGCTGAGGGGCAGGGGAGGGAAATGGTACCGGCCATTTGTTTACAGAGAGGTGTCTCTGTGAATGCTGTGTCTTATTGATGCACTCTGAGAAGAATGAATAATCTCCCCATTCTGTGCCCCAGGTGTTCTTCAAGTCACTGTTTCCATGCTGTCTGTCCCTGCCTTGTTTGCCTGCCTTCTCTCCAGGAGCAGTATGGTGCCCTCCAGGCTCTATCCCAACCAAGCCTGCTGACTTTTAAAACTCCAGGCTTTAAGCCCCACTGATTGCAAGAACTCCTGAAATTCAGCCCCTCTTGTTTTCCAAGCCAATGGCTTTGGGGAAACTTTCTCCTTATGTGTTCCCTTGTGTGCTCCTCTCTCTCACCCTTCTTTATAATCATGGCTCCCTCCCCTCTGCAGCACCAGTGATCTGTTTCTCCCATGAAGCATGTCTCCACACTTCTACCTTGTTCAATATGGCCTCGTTTCTCCCTTTAGTTGTGGAGTTTGTTCTGTCAGTCTCCAGGTTGATTTCTGGATATTTAGGATGATCTGATAGTTATCTACTGTGTTCATGGGACCAGGTGAGCCTAGGATCCTCCTACAGTGCCACCATCTTCCTCTGTCTGTGATTCTATTGAGAGTTTTATCATGAATGTTAGATTTTGTTGAAAGCTTTCTCTACATCTATTGATATGATCATGTGATTTTTTTTATTTTTTTGTCTGTTCATGTGATGGATCACATTAATTTATTTTCAAAGTTTGAACCAGCCTTTTGTACCTGGGATAAATCCCATTTTGTTATGGTGAATAATTCTTTTTATATATTCTTGGATTCAATTGCTATTATTTTGTGAGGATTTTTACAACTATGTTCATGAGAGATACTGGTCTGCAGTTTTCTTTTTTTTGTAATGTCTTGTCTGGTTTTGGTGTTAGGGTAATAATGACCTCAGAATGATTTAGGAAGTAATCCTTCTGCATTTATCTTCTGAAAGACATTATAGAGAATGGGAACAATTTCTTCTTCAATTGTTTGATAGAATTCACCAGTGAATCCATTTGGGCCTGGTGCTTTCTGTTTTTGAAGGTTATGAATTATTGACTCAATTTGATTTATACATTTATACCTATTCAGATTGTCTACTTCATCTTGTATGAGTTTTGGTATATTGTATCTTTCAAAGAATTATTCCATTTCGTCTAGTTATCAGATCTGTGGGCATAGTTGTTCATAGTATTATTTTATTATCTTTTAATATTTATGCAATATGTAGTGCTGTCCCCTCTTTCATTTCTGATATTAGTAATTTATGTCTTCTGTATTTTTTCTTAGTTAGCCTAGCTAGAGGGCTTATTTATATTATTGATATTTTAAAAATATCTTTTGGTTTTGTTGATTTTCTATATTGATTCCCTGTTTTCAATTTCATTGAGTTCTGCTCTCTTATTATTTTTCTTTTTCTGCTTCCTTTGGATTTAATTTGTTCTTTTTCTAGTTTCTTAAGGTGAAACTTAGATTTTTGGTTTCAGATCTTTCTTCTTTTCTAATATATACATTAATTGCTATAAATTTCTGTCTGAGCACTGATTTTGCTGCATCCCATAAATTTTTATAGTCTGTGTTTTCATTTTCATCTAGTTAAAATATTTTTAAATTTCTCTTGAAAGTTCTTCTTTGACCTATCAGAAGTGTGTTGTTTAATCTTCATATATTTTGGGACTTTCTAACTACCTTTCTGTTAATCAATTTCTAGTTTAATACCTTTGTTATTTGAGAGTAGACATTGTATGATTTCTATTCTTTTAAGTGTTAGGGTATATTTTATGGCCCAGAATGTGGTCTATCTTGGTGAATGTTCCATGTGAGCTTGAATAGAAGGTAATATATTTTTTTAAGATTTTATTTATTTATTTATTTATTTATTTGAGAGAGCGAGAATGAGAGAGAGAGAGAGCACATGAGAGGGGGGAGGGTCAGAGGGAGAAGCAGACTCCCCGCTGAGCAGGGAGCCCAATGTGGGACTCAGTCCTGGGATTCCAGGATCATGACCTGAGCCGAAGACAGTCTCTTAACCAACTGAGCCACCTAGGCGCCCAGAAGGTAATTTTTTTTAATAATGCAAGTCCAGGAGTCCCTTGTGGAAAAGATTGACAAGTATCACTTTTTACCTGTCCTACAAGTGACGAACTATGATACATTTGTAGCAAATTATAACTTACTACTAATCTCAATAAGAGAAAAACATTAACCTCATTAAGAATTGGCCAGAATATTAAAAAAAATAATTCATACTATAAGAACTGCAGTAAGAACTAGGCAGAAGTAATCAACCTTATAATATTATAAAAATAATTATCAGTATAATTTGAAATATAAATGAGAACTTCCATTTTTACTACTCATATTGGCAAAGATATAGAAATTAGGTATTAACTATACCAGCTATAGTGTGGGGAAGAATATTCTCACACCCTTCTGGTGGGCAGGGTGAATTGGTAGGTACTGCCTCAATAGGGGTCAATTGGAAATTTCTTTCCAACTTTAAAATTCAGGTAGGACTACATCAAACTAAAAAGCTTCTGCATAGTAATGGAAACAGTTGATAAAATGAAAGGGCAATGTATGGAATGAGAAAAAATATTTGCAAATCATATATCTGATAAGCCATTAATATCCAAAATATATAAGGATTTCTATAACTCAACAGCAAAAAACCCCCAAATACGCTGATTTATAAATGGGAAAAGGACCTGAATAGACATTTTTCCAGGAAAGATATACTAATGGCCAGCTGGCATATAAAAGATGCTTAACCTCACTAATCACTAGGGGAAGTTGAAGATTGCAATGAGATATCATCTCACACCTGTTAGGATGGCTTTTACCAAAAAGATAACAGATAAGTGTTGGTGAGGAAGTGGAGAAAAAGGAACATTTGTACACTGTTGGTTGAAATATAAAGTGGTACAGCCGCTATGGAATACAGTGTGGAGATTTCTCAAGAAATTAAAAATTGAACTACTATATGATTCAGCAGTCCTACCTCTGGATATATATCCTAAGAAATCAAAATCAGTATACTGAAGAGATATCTGCACTACCATGTTCATTTTCACTGCAACATCATTTACAATAGCCAAGTTATGGAAACAACCTAAGTGTCCACTCACCAGTGATGAGTGATGAATGGATAAAATAGATGTGAGACATCTTTATAGACATCTAGATAGATAGATAGATAGATAGATAGATAGATAGATAGATAGATAGGCAGACAGTGAAATATTATTCAGCCATGAGAAGGAAGGAAATCCTGCCATTTGCAAACACATGGATGGTGTCTAGAAGACATTATGCTAAGTGAAATTAGCCAGAGGAAAGCAAATACTGTAATGATCTCACTTATATGTGAGATTAAAAAAAAAAGTCCAACTCACCCAAACAGAATAAAGTGGAGGTTACTAAGGACTGGGTTGGAGGAGATAGGGATATGCTGGTCAAAGAGTACAGGCTGTGTTTTGTACTTGAAATTTGCTGAAAGAGTAGACCTAGGGGCGTCTGGGTGGCTCAGTTGGTTAAGCATCTGCCTTTGGCTCAGGTCATGATCCCAGTGTCCTGGGATCAAGCCTTGCCTTGGGCTCCCTGCTCAGCAGGGAGTGTGCTTCTCCCTCTCCCTCTGCCCCTCCCCTCTGCTTGTGCTTTCTCTCTCTCTTTCTCTCAAGTAAATAAATAAAATCTTAAAAAAAAAAAGTAGACCTTAAGGGTTCTCACCACACACACACACACACACACATACACACACACACAAGGTAACCATGTGAGGTGATGGATGTGTTAATTAACCCAATTGTGGTAATCATTTCACAAAGTATACATATGTCAAATCATCACGTTGTATACCTTAAACATATAGGATCCATTTGTCAATTATACCTCAATAAGCTGAAAAATCTGTTTTAAATAAAAGAATAATGTACTACATGTTGGCTAATTGAATTTAAATAAAATAAAGAAAGAAAGAATAAAAGAATAAAAAACAACAAAAGAGAAAAGGTACATAGGAGATACATATTTGATTCTTTGCTTCTCTAGAAATGTATTACACAGCCATACATTTGTGTGAATTTTGGCTGGATAAATGACTCTAGTCAAGGGTTCATTCTCAGTATTGCAAAATTTGTTACATTTTTAATTTTGTTTTGTTTCTTTATTTCAGGGCACTGTTGAGCAGGGCAATGTGTTTCTATTTTCTGGTACCTTTCACATGACCTGCTTTCTGATTGTTGAAAATGTCAAGATCTTCTTTATATTCTTATTATTCTAAAATTTTATCCTCTGATACACTTCCAAGAGTTTACCAATTATTTATAACTTGATTTTTCAGGGGGGAAAGGGAAGCATAAGTGTACTTCTCTTTACTGAGAATATACTATATACAGTTAGCTGTTTAATTGGATATTCCTCTTAATTAGATTTAGTATGTTTTTAAATGAGAATGGATCTTGGAATTCCCTCATTGTGCACAGGAGTTTTTATCTGCAGGGGTTGGGTTGTGTGAGGCCTGCTCATTGATTAACACTAACTCTAGTTTTCACCCACATCACAGGTATTGAGCCCAACCTGTTTGTGATCCATTTCTCTCCTTTCCTGTAAAACTCTCCTTTACTTCTTCTTTTATGTTTCTCATCTCTCCTTCTACCTTGAAGTCATTTATTTTCATTACACGAGTATAACTCAGGATTTTTGTTTCAGGGATTTGTGCTATTCAGGGATGTGTCTATAGACTTTTCTCAGGAAGAGTGGGAATGCCTGGACTCAACTCAAAGGAATTTGTACAAATATGTAATGTTGGAGAATTATAGCAACCTGGTCTCAGTCGGTAAGTATACCTTTCTCTAAAAACTCTAGAGCCCTTTGGAATATATGCTTCCCCTGAGAAGATTTTCTCAACTCCTTTCATATATCCTATGCGTTTCTTCTCCCTATTCCTAAAGACATGCTTGAGCTTTGTAGAGTTGGGACTGTGTAGCTTCATTGGGCCTAAGGCCAAAACTCCACCTTCTCTCCTTTTTTGTGGCCCTGCCAATTTATTTGCTGATCATAGGATAGGCTTTGTGTCCTGGGACACCTACAACATAAAAAGTCTCCTTTCTTCTCTTATGAGTAGGTCTTTGCATTCCCAAGCCAGATGTGATCTCTTTATTGGAGCAAGGGAAGGAGCCTTGGAGTGTTTTTGACAGTGAGCTGACAAGAGGCCTGTACCTAGGTAAGTGATTGATGATTATACAAAGGAAGAGGAATGTAGGATATAAACCAGCTGCTCAGTAAGGAGATCACATCTTTGCGATGTTTGGAGGAATCTCCCCTCAAAGGCCTACAACTATTAAGAAAAGTAAACTCATCATGAACTTCCAAATGCCCACACCTTCACCTTCAACCTTTTTCATGTATGCATGAGTCTTTAATGACCTTCTTGTTTTCTGGCACAAAAATATGTTTCAGTCTCATCTTGTATTTTTCTTTCCCCAACTTGGAATTAGCCAGCTCATTAAGAAGCCTTATTTTCTCGGGGTGCCTGGGTGGCTCAGTCGTTAAGCGTCTGCCTTCGGCTCAGGTCATGATCCCAGGGTCCTGGGATCGAGCCCCGCATCGGGCTCCCTGCTCTGCGGGAGGCCTGCTTCTCCCTCTCCCACTCCGCCTGCTTGTGTTCCCTCTCTCGCTGTGTCTCTCTCTGTCAAATAAATAAATAAAATCTTAAAAAAAAAAAAAAAGAAGCCTATTTTCTCTTAATAGGGAATGGTGTTCATTGACCAATATCAGTGTTCAGTGCACTCATTGCTACTGGATTTTCATTGCTTTTATATCTATTAAGTACAAAGAGACAGGGAACATATATTTTATAAGTGAATCATACTAATAACTGTAATTGAAGTCCAAAAGACAAGATTCTGTCTCACTTTTCTACATCTCAGTTTTGTAACTTTTTCTTGAACAGTGGAAAACCCTATTTCCCACAACACGAGTATATTTGTTCAAGCCTTCTGTTCCAAATGCCACAGAATACTTTCAAAATTAGAATACCAGCACAACTACTGACTGAAAAACCTACCTGAAGTCATGTTCAAGATTTATTACAGTTTCCTTTTCCTTTTTCCCTTAGAATAGGTTACACCAAGGATTTCCAGAGTACAGTTCATAAAGTTGCTAGATTAATTCTTTTTTGTGCATTTTCAACTTAATATACCTATCTTTTTTTAAAGTCATATTAAGTATTATGACCTATTTTTTTAAAGATTTTATTTTATTTATTTGACAGAGAGATAGAGAGAGAGCACAATAGGCAAAGTGGCAGGCAGAGGGAGAAGGGGAAGCAGGCTCTCTGCTGAGCAGGGAGCCCAATGTGGGGTTAGATCCCAGGACTCTGGGATCATGACCTGAGCCGAAGCTAGCTTGCTTAACCAACTGAGCCACCCAGGTGCCCTTAATACACCATTTATCTTAACTGTTAAGTTTAGATTATTTTTAGTTTAGAATTGGAATATATAAAACATTTATATGCTTTAAAAGTCAATATAAAAATATACTTAGAGAAGTTATGTTTGCAACCCTATCTGCTTCATTCATTGCCATCCTCACTCTAGGTATTTGGTGGTAGGGGGAGGGGGTTGGTTGAGGTAGTCTGATTAATCCTTTCTGCCTTTATTTTTTCAGAAATAGAGCATGTTCACATTTATATTCCCAATTCTCCTTCCCTCTTGTACATAGGATAGTATTCTCTCTGCACTCTTTTTTTTTTTTTTTTAAAGATTTTATTTATTTATTTGACAGAGAGAGACACAGTGAGAGAGGGAACAAAGGCAGGGGGGAGTGGGAGAGGGAGAAGCAGACTTCCCGCGGAGCAGGGAGCCCAGTGCGGGGCTCGATCCCAGGACCCCGGGATCATGACCGGGGCCGAAGGCCGACGCTTAACAACTGAGCCACCCAAGCGCGCTCTCTGCACTCTTTTTTACTGTCCTGTTTTTTTTTCTTTTTTGATTGAGAGAGAGAGAGAGCGCATGCGCGTGTGCACATGCAAGTGGGGGGAGGGGCAGAGGGAGAGAGAAAATCTTAAGCAGGCTCCACTCAATGTGGAGCCTGATGCTGGGCTCCATTTCATAACCCTAAGATTGTGACCTAAGCCGAAATCGAGTCGGATGCTCAACTGAGCTACCCAGGCACCCCGTTCTGGTTTTCTCTTAATAATTATTAACAAGTTGTTGTGGAAATCATTCCATATAGATACGTTGGCAAAAACAAAAAAGATGTATAAAATTGACTTAATCTTTCTTGGTGTTATGTGTTGATTTTTGCCATATCTCATTAATTATTGGAATTGTTAATAGTAAAGTTTCCAAGCAGACAGTCACAAAATTTGTAAGTATTTTCAGTTTTGTTTCTTGCTTTTCTGTGCTTGCAATTTTGATACTCCTTTTAGTCTTATTGCTGTGGCTGCACTGTTCAGGAAGTGTTCAATAGAAATAGCACTACTATGTGTTTTCATCTTTTTTCATGATTTTTATGGGCATGACTTTTTCTTCTTTTTAAAAAAAAATTTTTTTTTAAAGATTTTATTTATTTATTTGAGAGAGAGAGAATGAGAGAGAGCATATGAGAGGGGTTAGGGTCAGAGGGAGAAGCAGACTCTCTGCCAAGCAGGGAGCCCGATGCGGGACTCGATCCAGGGACTCCAGGATCATGACCTGAGCCGAAGGCAGTCGCTTAACCAACTGAGCCACCCAGGCACCCTAAAATTTTTTTTTAGTTTTGGAATAATTTTATATTTACCAAAAAAGTTGCAAAAATAGTATAGAGAGTTCCTATATTCCTCACCTAATATCAATTTCCTCTACATTTTTGTGGCATATTTGAATTTACCTCATCCCCATCATTTTAATTCCCTCCAACATAGTATATCTGTCATAAACTTCATGATTTATCCTTTCTTTGTTTTGCTTAATGTGAGCCCTTATGTATATATCTTCATATATCCCCTTTCTTTTATAAATGGTAGCAGCATATACATACAGTTTACTCCTACCTTGTTCTTCTACTTTAAAAAGTCATGAAGATCATTCAATAGGAATATATAGATACTTCTCATTTCTTTATTAAGTTACTTAGAACTCTATTGTGTGCATTTACGATACTGAGTTCAAGTAGTATTAAGTTGGTGGCTATTTGGGTTTGTTATAGTCATTTGCTCTTACACAAATAGTTCTGTAGTGGATAACCTTCTGCATAAATCTCTTCAGATTCTTTCCAGAAAGTATAGTTTGGGTTCCTAGAATTAGGATTGCTTGCTCAAGGGATAAATACTTATATAATTTTGCTAGAAACTGGCAAATATCCCCGTATGGTAGTTGTACCATTTTTATTTGCTACACTGAATGTGTGAAAGAGGTTACTTGCCTATAGCCTTCTAACAGATTAGGTTATCAGATTTTTGGGTTTTTGCCGAAGTATACTTTGAATTTATTCCAAAATTTAAGAATCATTGACTTCGTCTTTTTCTGATCCCCTTCCCCCATGTCTTTCTATGTCTCTTTTCAATTTCTATACTTTATCTCTCAAATTGCACCACCATATAAGAACTGTAAATCCTATTTACATTATAAACATTGATGTCAATGTAATTCTGCCTTTTCTAAGTTTTGTGTCTTCTCCCTCCCAAAAAAGTGAATGTTTTTGTGTTTTCTTTCAGAATATAAATCTAGGTGTGAGAACAAGAAATTATCTCTGAAAAAGGGTAACTATAAAATAGATTCATCCCAGTGGGTTATAATGGAAGGATTTACAAAGCATGGACTTAAACAGGGATCTCAGGAAAGACATTTTAGCCAAATCTCATGTACCTCTGAAGACATATCCCCTTTCATTCAGCAAACATCTCTCCCTCTACATCGAACATTTAATACCAAAGAGAAATCTTATGAATGCCAAAAACATAAAAATGCCTATGGACAGGACTCAAAACTTACTACACATCAAGAAGGTCATAATGGTGAGAAATTCTATGACTATAAGGAATATGGGAACACCCTTAGTAGAACTTCAAAACTTAGTTCATATCATTCAGTGCATATTGGTATGAGACCCTATGAATGTGAGGAATGTAGGAGGTCTTTGAATAGTGACTCGGACTTTATGCAACATCAGATAAATTTTACTAGGGAGAAATCTAATGAATTTAGGAAAAGTGGGAAGGCCTTTACTAATGCCTCACAGTTTTTTCTACATCATAGCATTCATACAAGTGAGAAACACTTTAAATGTAAGGAGTGTGTTAGAGAATTTAGTAATGGTACAGCCCTTATTCGTCATCAGAGGATTCATACTGGTGAAAAACCTTATGAGTGTAATGAGTGTGGGAAGGCTTTTAGCACTATTTCAATATTTAGAGTACATCAGAGGATTCACACAGGTGAGAAACCCAATGAATGTAAAGAATGTGGAAAAGCCTTTCGTCATTCCTCATACCTTACTCAACACCAAAGAATTCATACCGGTGAGAAACCTTATAAATGTAAGTATTGTGTTAGAGCATTTAGTAATGTTTCGGCCTTTATTCGGCATCAGAGGATTCATACTGGTGAGAAACCCTACAAATGTAAGGAATGTGGAAGAGCCTTTAGTACTGGCTCAATCCTTACAGCACATCAGAGAATTCACTCAGGTGAGAAACCCTATTTATGTAAGGAATGTGGGAAGGCCTTTCGTCAGTCTTCAGACCTTACTCAACATCACAGAATTCATACTGGTGAGAAACCCTATGAGTGTAAGGAATGTGGAAGGGCCTTTCGTCGTTCATCAGAACTTTCTCGACACAAGTTAATTCATGCTGATGAGAAATTGTATGAATGTAAGGAATGTGGAAAGATATTGAGTAGAGATTCAATACTTATACAACATCAGAAAATTCACACTGGTGAGAAAGCCTGGGAATGTAATGAATGTGGAAGAGTTTTTACTTGTGCAACATACCTGACCCGGCATCAGCGAATTCATACTGGTAATAAACCATATACTTGTAACAAATGTGGAAAAGCCTTTCTTCGTTCTTCAGACCTTATTCTGCATCAAAGAATTCATACTGGTGAGAAACCCTATGAGTGTAAGGAATGTGGGAAGGCTTTTGCAAGAGGCTCAAATCTTAATCGCCATCAAAAAGTTCATAATGGTAAGAAATAGTATGAAAGTAAGCTTTGTAAGACCTTTAAGCATGTCTTTCAGGTAACATGACATGAAAGAGAAATCTTAGAAATGTAATAGGAGAAATCCTAAAATTTATTGGTAAGAAAATATAGAAATATAATTAATATGAGAATGCCTTATGTGTTTCACAGCTTAACTACCATAAGAATAAAATGAATATTGGAAGTTCTCTATCAATAGCTCATTCCTTTCTAAATTTTAAAAACTTTCTAATCATGAGTGGAGAAAAGTGAAAAATCTTTTTTGTTGCATTTTTCATACTTTAAAATACTTTAAATCCACTTTATTTTTTATATAGCTGTAAGTAGTTCGGTTTATGCATAGCTAAAATACTATATTATTATGTTGTACATTAAATTTTTGAATTTATTTTGTTCTCACCAAAACTCTTATTACAGCACAACTTATTCAGTAACTATTTTCTGAAGCTATTTATGCACAGTTTTGGACATTTTATATTTTTAATGTTATAAGCTTGGATATAATGAGTCTTTTTATACCCCGACATCCAATTTGGAAACTCTTTACTTGATCTTTTTATAATAAATTTATACCTGCATATCTTTGCATCTGTACCATTTTATTTATTTATTTATTTATTTTTAAAGATTTTATTTATTTATTTGACAGAGAGAGAGACAGTGAGAGAGGGAACACAAGCAGGGGGAGCGCGAGAGGGAGAAGCAGGCTTCCCGCCGAGCAGGGAGCCCGATGTAGGGCTCAATCCCAGGACCCTAAGATCATGACCTGAGCTGAAGGCAGATGCTTAATGACTGAGCCACCCAGGCGCCCCTGTACTGTTTTATTTAAAATATCATTACTTTAAGGGGTGCCTGACTGGCTCAGTCAGAGGAGCATGCAACTCTTGATCTCGGGGTTGTGAGTTTGAGCCCCCATGTTGGGTGAAGATGTTACTTAAAAATAAAATCTTTTAAAAATAAAATATCATTACTTTAAGATATATATTTTAATATTGGTAAAGTGATTATTTGTATATATAAATTAATATTTTTATTTCATAAATGTGATATTTTATTGTAATAATTTTCTCTAAATTTTTTAATTCTACAAAGAAGCCAATAAAGTTAGCTTTCATCCCCCAAAGGGGCTATAACTATGGTCAAATTGTTGGAACAAATCCTTTTATAATTTTTTAAAGCAAATGTAATCATATTATTCAAATTGTCTCATAAATTGTCTTCTTAATGACAAGATATGTCATATAGGACATTCCATGTGATTAAGTGCATTAATAATGTTAATATATATGACTGTACCATTATTTTTACCAAACATCTATGGTCAAATAATATGACTGACTCCACTTTTTTTGTTTGTAAGGAATGCCATGTTTAGCATCCTACTTGGCACACTGTACTTGGTTGTCTTCTCTTCATTGTTTTTGAAATCTCTACATACCTTTTGACATGTACATATTTTAAACATGACAGATTAAACTGGCTTCCTTTTTGACCATACTGTACTATGCCATTTTTCTCTCCTTCCCTCCATGTTACTTATCCTTGTGGAGTTTTTCCTAATGATTTTGCCCAAATATAATGTAGGGACATTTAATTTTTTAAAAAATAATTCATTTCCATTTCAACATATTTATATTAAAAACACATTCCTATATGTTATTATAGTTTATGTGAAATGGCATGGCTATATTCACTAGTATATGTGGGTTTGGTAAGGATCAAATGAGTTAATTTACACAAATGCTTATAATTAAGACTTTAACATGCTCAGTAAATATAATCCATTATCAAAATTATTTTTTTCCTTTGTCTATTTTATTATTTATGGAATGGCTCTTAACTATGGTGTATATTTTATTTAATATCAGAAATTTAATATTGGAGAAGAATGTTAAGCCTCTAGTGAATATAGCAAAGTCATCATCATTCATTCCTTCTTGGGCGTGAGATGATCCATCCTGAAGAAAAAAAACATAAGAATATAATGAATAATGCCTTTATTCGTATCTAACCTTGTATGTTGAATCCTAAAATTTATGTCAGCATGCAACATTATTGAGAATATTATTGCCCACATTATCTGACTGATTAAAAAATAATATTGGATTGTAGGAACATCTGACTCTTGATCCAATGCATGTTTAAGCCAACATTTGTCTAAGGATGAAATATGAACAAACTGCAATTTTTTGAACATAAAGGTTGCTGAGTATCCTACGCAGCAAAACCTGTGGGAGGTGGGCAGAATTACTCACAGAACTTATAACTCTAAATCCAGACATGTAAAAAAATAAAAATAAAAAAATAAATCCAGACATGTATTACAATAATTAATACTTGAAATCTGGCCCTGGTGCTACAGGGATGTAGAGGAAGCTTCCATGTATCTGGGACTCAGACTGCCTCTAGAGTGGGGTTTAGCTTGGCTAGTGCTGGTGTCTCTGTGGAGGTATGATACAGGTGGATCTGAGAAGTTTGGAACAACTACGAACTAGAATCAACAGCTTCTACTGGGAACTATGGCCACTAATAGGGCTTATCACTTTTCTGTTGCTGCATAACAAATTGCCACAAGTTTGGCAGCTTAAAGCAATACACAATTATTATCTCAAAGTTTTCATGGGTACATGTGAGGGCCTGGCTTAGCTGGGTCCTTTGCTCAGCGTCTTACAAGGTGGCAATTGAGGTGTCAGTTGGAGATGGTGTCTCACCGAAGGCCCAGGGTCATCCTCCAAATTTACATGTTTGTTGGCAGAATTAATTTCCTTGAAGCGATAGTAATGTTGGCTTGTTTCTTCAAGGGCGGCAGAAGACATTTTTACTTCTGTCTCTGACCTATAGATCTTTTAAAAGGCACATCTCTCAGAATCTGCCCATTCAGGATAATCTCCCTTTTGACCCACTTAAACTGTTTAGGGACCTTGATTATATCTGCCAAAATCCTTCACCTTTGCCATATAACTTAACATAATTATGGAAATGATATACCATCATACCATCATTTTTGCCACATTTTATTCATTAGAAGCAGCGTATGGAGGTGTTAGGGTTGAAGTATGGAGATAAGATACTACTTCAGTGGCCTCATTGCTTGTTTTTGAGGCAAGGGGAAAGCAACCATCTTTTCCTTCGTGAAAGTGGGAATACAGCACACAAAACAACAATTTTTGTTACTGGGTCCCTTGGTTCTTGTCCCAGATGCACCAAAGAATTGGGAAACCTGAGACCAGAATGGGGAGATAGAGTTTATTGAGTAGATAAGTGTAGAACACTCAAGAGAGAAAGCGAGCTAGTCCCGGAGCAAGAGTGGCAATGGCCCCGAGAAACTCTAGCTGCATCCTTTTAAGCCTGTTTTCTGCATAGGTAAATTTGGCTTTGATTGACAGCTGGTGGTTATAGAACATTCTGGCTTCTGTGCATGTGCCTACCCATGATGCAGTCTGTCATAATTGTATTTATTTACAAATGTATGAGTTTCTAGTGAGCTTTTGCTGTGAACTTAAAGTTACTTAACGGAAAGTTGCACCTTTTGTGCTCATGCTCAGTTCTTGGACGTCCCCTTGTGGCTTTTGAGCCAGCTCTGTGGCTAGGCCTTTCCTGTTTTGTTAGCCTTTGGTGGTGGCTCTGAAGGTGTGGCTGTTAACTCTTGGGGGTGGCTCCGAGGGTCTGCCCAGCATCTGCTTAATCCCTCCTTGCTCATGCCTAACCAACTGCCTAACAGTTTTAAGTAATTCTTATCTCAAAGACAGTCCCACTTTTCATCATCTTTGACATCTTTACTCTTCAGTGTCCAATACATTAACCAGTAGACACATGTAGTTACTTAAATTTAGATTTAAAGTAATAAAATTTAAAATTCATTTTCTCTGTCTCATAGGCACGTTTCAAGTGCTCAACAGCTGCATGCAGCCAGTGGCCATTGTATTGGGCAGCATATTATAGAACATTTCTGTTGTTGCAAGAAATTATACCGCACAGTCCTATGACATAAATGACCTTTCAGTTATTGAATTATAGGAGAAAACTTGGTGTTCATTGGCTCTGTTGCATACCCTGCAGTGATATCCACAGACAGAGTTGGCACCAGTTATTTTGTGGCTTCATCTAGATCCAGGAGAAAAAAAGTTCTATTTTATCACCCTTTTGCACATTAAACTATGATGAGAAACCAATCTGAAGTTGCCTTGGTAGAAAATTAACATAGAGAAGTCAACAAACCCATGTCCAAATATTCTTTTTTTAATTTTTAAAAATATTTTATTTTTGCGAGAGAGAGAGCATGAGGGGGGGGATGGAGCGCAGAGGAAGAATCAGACTCCCCACCGAGTGGATGTGAACTCTGGGATCATGACCTGAGCCGAAGGCAGACTCTTAACCGACTGAGCCACCTAGGTGCCCTCATGTACAAATATTCTTAAAAAATAGAAGATCCAATAGAAAAAAAAAAAAACTGCTTTTATGGTAGTCACAAAAAAAAAAGCTATCAAGAAATAAAATTAAATAGAAATGTCCATAATCATTATGGAAAAATACTAATCCCTCCTTGCTCATGCCTAACCAACTGCCTAACACTTTTTAAGTGTGGAAAATAAAAATTTTCCAAAGCAATCGGGAAATGAAAAAATAAAAGGATATAACATCTGGGATTGCAGTACTGACATCGTTAAAAAATCATAATTCCTTAGGTTATAAATGTGATGCAATCTCAATTAAAAATACCCAGGAATTTTTTTAGATATATGAGATAATTCTAAAGTCTATATGGAAAAATAAAGAAATCAGAATAACCAGTACAATTCTGAAAGAGGAGAAGAATTGGATAATTGGAACCATCAGATATTAAGACATACTATAACTCTATAATAATTAGGAGTATAGCTCTAGCAAAAATATAATAGAACACTAGAACTACTTAAAAGTCCAGCTATAGATCCAAACACATAGGAAAGATAGTATATGATAATGAAGGCATTTTGGATCATTTAATATCCTTTGAATCTTGAGGAGTTGGATGTATTATATGTATATGTTACATATAGGTTTTTCAACAGATGTTTTTAGTAGCCACATGGCAAAGATAGGACAAATTTGTATCCATATTTATTCAAACAGTCTGAAAGCGCCACTCCATAGTTTACTCAAAAACAAAAAGAGAAGATATAGCTTTAAATAGGACTGTTGACTACAGCCTTAAGGAAATAAATTAACATCGGGAACGGGAAAAAGGTGACATCAAGTGGCCTCTGATATGATACATTAAGAAGGACACAATATCACCCATGGAGTATTCTTGTCAAAATATTTAGCCTAGGGGCCCCTGGGTGCCTCGGTCGGTTAAGCGGCTGCCTTCGGCTCAGGCCATGATTCAAGGGTCCTGGGATGGAGCCCCGCGTCGGGCTCCTTGCTCAGCAAAGAGCCTGCTTCTCCCTCTCCCTCTGCCTGCCTGCCGCTCCCCCTGCTTATGCTCTCTCTCTCACCATCTCTGTCTCTGTGTCAAATAAATAAAAATAAATTTTAAAAAATATTTAGCCTGAAGGTCAACAAGACTTATATAATTATCTTTTATTTAGCCTATGCAAAAATTAATCAACCATGGACAAAAATTTTAAA